CAATGAACAGAAGTACTGATGTAGACAATTACCATTGAATGAACAGAAGTACTGATGCAGACAATTACCACCCAATGAACAGAAGTACTGATGCAGACAATTACCACCCAATGAACAGAAGTACTGATGCAAACAATTACCACCCAATGAACAGAAGTACTGATGCAAACAATTACCACCCAATGAACAGAAGTACTGATGCACAATTACCACCCAATGAACAGAAGTACTGACGTAGACAATTACCACCCAATGAACAGAAGTACTGACGTAGAGAAATACCACCCAATGAACAGAAGTACTGACGTACATAACCATCAATCTTGTAACTAGAATATGAAGCACACTGACATAAGTGGTCATTAAATATGCAACTACATAGCCACAAATACTGACAGTTATTATTTTTGATATTAGACAAATGTTGACACTGTCATGATTTTTAGTAATAGAGTATTTGTACTATAAATGTTAACAGCAGAATTTCAGCACTAAAAGCAAAAGATCTCATATTTGTTAATGGAAATATTAAATTATGAATATATGTTTGTTTTGTTGTTTGTTTTTGAATTTCGTGCAAAGCTACACGAGGGCTATCTGCGCTAGCCGTCCCTAATTTAGCAGTGTAAGACTAGAGGGAAGGCAGCTAGTCATCACAACCCACCACCAACTCTTGGGCTACTCTTTTACCAACGAATAGTGGGATTGACCGTCACATTATAACGCCCCCACGGCTGAAAGGGCGAGCATGTTTGGTGGGACGGGGATTCGAACTCGCGACCCTCAGATTGCGAGTCGAGTGCCTTAACCACCTAGCCATGATGAATATATGAACCTCAGTTGAGATTAAGTATTATGCTTTCTGTGATTGAGTGCTTCAGTTTTGGTTACAAAAGGTACATAATATCTCTAAAAAGTTTTTAAATGGATTCTGATTGGCCATTATTTGAACTTTTATTGATAGAAAGGAAGCATTTAATTTCTTTATTATAGGCCAATTTTTTTTCTCATTTTATTTGGAGAAATCTTTTGGCAAGTACTTTAAGAACTTCCTATGTATATGACTCACCAAACTCCTACCAAAAAAAAAACTTCTTAACAAACCATGAAGTTTCATTATTTTCAGTTGACTAAGTATACAACAGGAATCAAACAAATTTATACAGAACAATAGCTTAATCCCTTGCAAGTTTTGCCCCTTTGTTATTGCAACCTTAAAATAGTATCAAAAGTTTAGATCCTAAATAAGTAGCAGCTATACAGACACGAAACTCAGTTCCAGTGGTGGAACAAGCAGTTCATGGGCCTCAAGGCAAAGAAATGAGTGGGGCCCCTTTTTTCAAAACATAAGGCCAGACCAGGCCCCCAGGCATCATGGGCCCCAGAGTGTTGCCCTGTCTACCTCGCACTAGTTTCGCCATTGCTCAGTTCTTGCTTAAAGATAACTTGATAAGAAGAAAAACAGAACAGAATACAGTAATAAAACATGAGGTCTATTATATCATTAGAAACAAAATAAAGTATTGTGACTAACACATACTGGACAATTGACGTCTTTCTTACATCCCCTGTTTCCCCAGACATGTGGGGTAATTCTCCCTTTCTTCCAATATTTAAGCGTGCCACCATGTTTGGGGAGCCCGATTCTCTGATCGATTGTTTCATGGCAGCAAACCTATCAACAAGCCGGTGGTGTAGGGGGAGGACTTCTGGAGGAGCCAGTCTTCCATGGAGAGACAAACCACCTTCCAGGATCTGAACCTACAAAATGCAGAACTATTAGTAAAACTTCCAACAAACTGGGTCTGTAACTTACTTTATTACAACACATGCACACCACACAAGAACCTGAAGACTCTAGGCGATGTGGAGTAGAAAGATCATATATTAAAAAATAATAGTAAACAATTTAATTAGCAATGTTAACCTATAAAATAAGTAAATCTCTCTAGAATGCAAATAAATAAACAATTGAAGTAAATGAAAAAAAAAAAGGAAATTAAATTTTTTTTAAAATATAAATAATGTGAATATGTTCAATTTTAAATCATAAAAAATGTGATGAGCATAATAAACATGTTCTCAGCTTCAGTTGACTTTATGCACAAAAAGGAAATACAGTTTTCACATTCAAACTAATGACATCAGTGAAAACTTGTAAAGTACCTTCGTAAAGCCATATAGCTTGAGAGTCATTACAAGTGTCCAACCTTGTTGGAAACAAAAAAGTATCTTCTTCGTCGCGTTGAATATGATGATAAAAGATTTATGTATATTAATCTAGGATCGACGAAAAGGGGAAAAAATCTGAAATTCTTCTATTTCTTCTTTACTAATCTTACTTCAGTTTGAAGGAACTGCTCATCAACTTCCATGCATTTTTATTAGCTTAATCAACTTATGAGCGTTTTAATTTTACTTGCCATTATAAAATATTTTAAAATAATGATAATAAACAACTTTATAAAAAACTTTACATTACAAAACAGGAGATATTGTTGAGCTTTAAGTGTGAATTGTCTGTAGGTGAATAAACAAAAGATGTTCTATAATGTTAAGCTTTATGTGTGAACTGTCTGTGTAAGTGAACAAACAAGAGATGTTCTATAATGTTGAGCTTTATGTGTGAACTGTGTGTAGGTGAACAAACAAGAGATGTTCTATAATGTTGAGCTTTATGTGTGAACTGTGTGTAGGTGAACAAACAAGAGATGATCTATAATGTTGAGCTTTATGTGTGAACTGTCTTTCATTTACGCATTTTTTTTATTTTCTAAAAAATAGGCCTAGTGTGTGCAAGTTAACCACTGGCATTTTAATATACCTGTGTACAATAATAAAAATATAAAGCTGAGCATGTGTGGTAAAAGAAAAACAAAAAGGTGTGTTCACCTACAGACAGTTCACATGTAAGGCTCAACAATATAGAACATCTCTTCTGTGTGTTCACCTATGGACAGTTCACACACAAAGCTAGAAAACATAGAACATTTCTTGTGTGTTCACCTACAGACAGTTCACACATAAAGCTCAACGTTATAGAACATCTATTGTGTGTTCACCTACAGACAGATCACACGTGAAGCTCAACATTATAAAACATTGTGTGTTCACCTACAGACAGATCACACGTGAAGCTCAACATTATAAAACATTGTGTGTTCACCTACAGACAGTTCACGCATGAAGCTCAACATTATAAAACATTGTGTGTTCACCTACAGGCAGTTCACGCATGAAGCTCAACATTATAAAACATTGTGTGTTCACCTACAGACAGTTCACACATAAAGCTCAACGTTATAGATCATCTCTTGTTTGTTCACCTACACAGAGAAAGTACATAGACCTCACCTTTTCTAATATGAGAATCTTGAGCCTGTCAATGTACTCAGTCTGTTCAGGATTCTGAGTAGCAAAACCGGCAGTGAAAAAAGCTTCTTGATACTTGGCAATACCACCATTTACTGCAGCTTCAATTACTCCCTGAAGTCGCATGCTGAGCGGGCTAATAGACCGTTTGGGGTCATTAGTATATTGGGCTATTAGTCGTCGCAGTTCCTTGTTCATGTGGTCGACAGTTTCACAGGCATGTGCAATTGGTGAAATTTCCTCCACTTGACGATCGGTCACTTCAAACCATCGTAAAATTCCTGGGAGACGAGAACCTATGGTAAGGGTTGTGCGTTCGATCCATAAACTCTAAAAGACAGCAGTAAAAACAGCAATGTTGATTAATGCTATTTAAAACATTCTGAACAGTGAAGTATTTTTTTGTATACATAGTGTCTGAAATACCTTAAATTAACATGAGGAGAACACACTTTACATTAATACAACTCATATAATAATTTACAAAATAAACGCTCCACAAATCTTATTAGAAACACTACTACATGTTAACCCATACATACCTTAAATTCATTATCTTTTGCTATTGGCCCCTTGTGGACAGGTCTATCAAACTGAAAGGTTCGAACATCATTGACTAAGTAGTAGCTTAAAACCTTCTCAGGAACATGCTGACCCTCAAACTCAGGGCGTAGTTCAGGAATTGGCTTGACATTGCAGATCTGAATATCTAATGATGAGCTCAAGAAAGGTATACTGCCAGACATATTGCAGGTAATACAAGAATATATAAATCTCAATTAATCAAGTTTGATAACTAAAAACTCATTTAAAGACTATACTTTCTAAAATGAAACAATTACGGCCTGCTACAGATATGAAAACAATACAGTATCCCTTAAAAACAATTACGGCCTGCTACAGATATGAAAACAATACAGTATCTCTTAAAAACAATTACGGCCTGCTACAGATATGAAAACAA